ACTAGACAAGATACAAGGGACAAACTTTCCTCACCAGAACTCTTACTTGAAAAAGTGTTTCGCCTTGGAGGTTTATCTAGTCATGACTTTGTCTGGATGATGGTACGAGTGTCCCCCAGGTTTCAGACTACAGGTCCTGACAAGAAGATCAATGATAGGAACAAAGGGTGCATCATCCTTCTAATCCTCTCGAAGCTGTTCGAATCCAATCATCAACTTTCATCCTGACCTCAACCAGAAGCCTTTCTACTCACACCCTCAAGCTGCTCTGGGACCTGTCCCTCAGGATGTCAATGCTTGGCTGCTCAGGATGCACGGTGTCCAAGACACCGCAGGCTGCTGGGGTTCTGAGAGCGACCTTGGCTCGGAGCAGAGGGATATATCAGAAGCTAGCCCCTGCAAAGCATGCATGCTTCATAGCCTGCAAACGAGCTGTGCCAAAGCTAGCAGTGGGCTCGTCCGACTTGTTGAGTTTAAAGGGTGGGGCTGCTGTTGACACGCTCAGGGTTTGTTCATTGTGGTTTCACTTTCCAGCGGCTACTGTTTGTCAAAAACTCAAAATTCAGGGTCGAGGGTGCAGGCGAGTGGATTCTTAGAGTGGCCGGGGCCCTTCAGGTGGCACACCTTTGCACGCCTGCTGCGCCCAGCATCTGGATCTCATCAGAAGGGGCTTCGGGTGGAGATCGTGAGAAGAAATTCTTGATGATTCGGATTCGTGATTGCTACCTAACGGTTCCTCATCTGTCTTTGCAGCATGAGCAGCTGCTCGTGTGGGCATTATTTTGCCGAGAACCTTCTGGGGGCCCCTTCCATCAGCTGTTGCGTGGTTAAATAAAGGGTCAGCACTTGAGAAGCGAGGAGTAGGAATCAGCCCTGGTGCTCATCACAAATGAGCTGCAGCACTCCTGCATGCTCAGGGCTTTACTTCAATCAGTCAGTGCCAGCTTTTTGCCAGATGGGCCAAGGGCTGACAAGTACTTGCGCTTAGTGTTGTTCAGTTCCACGACATCTTGACGGCTACTTGGAATTAATTGCAGAAGTGTTCCGCTGTCAGGATATGCGGAACATCAACCATTCTTCTTTAACGAGCTCCAGGCAATTGCACAGTGATTTCTCTTGGTTCTGTGGCCTGTATCCAGCTGCCATTCTCGACATGGATGGTCACTGGTGGTTTGATGATGTTCAATGTATTCTGGTTGGCCACTCCTTTGGCGATTTTGGTGCCGAAGTGCTTCGAATTTCCTGGGCAATCTTTTAGGAGGCCGCCTCAGTTGTCTGGCCTACCTGAGTAACGGCCTGGCTTTGCGGATGTTGCAAGTTAACCAGCAATCGCGCCCTTTGTATGAAAAACAATTGCCCAACCTGAGTACTAGTTTCTAATATTTTCTAAGCATTCCCCTACAATGGCATCTGTATTCACTCCACACTTCCCTTAGTTAGCTAATTAAGTTAACCATGAGTAGTCTGTTCAGCCAAGGCACCGGCTTCCTGGCGCTACGGCTGTGGTGACCTTGCTCTGCCGCCTCCGGGCCCTTTTGCACAACATTCTTGAAGAGTAGCAGGATTTAAGGGTCGAGGTCGTTGGGCTCTCAGGATATCCGGATTTGGGTTTGCTTTGTTGTCCTGAGCGTTTGGGGGCTTACGGTTTTTGGTTTCGGGGTCGGGCTTCAGTGACTTTTGCAACACGGCGAAGCCAACGACGCTTTGCCAAGTCCAGTTTTTCAAGCGCCGAGGCATGGCTGAGTGCTTATCCCCAAGCTGTACCATTCGAATTCTTCGCTACGGGTTCAGGGAAACCGCAGTTGGACACACCTCGTCTTTTTGGAGGTAGCTGGGCCGACGGTAGCTTGAGTGACTTGTTGGAGTTGGAAGTTTCCAGCTGAAAAGCAGGTATGTGCGTGACAGGAACGAGCAAGATGCTTGCCATGGGAAACGCAGAGCAGAGGGTCCCTAGTTTCGACACATGAGAACCAGGCCGACGTCAATGCGGGAGACAGTGAAGGAGATTCGCCTTTGGCCCACGCCCGTGTTTTGTCTGCAAGGCATGTTTCTGTTGTTCCTGCATGGAATTAGCACAACGTTTAGTGGCCATTGTCACAGCAGGGCCGAGAATCAGAGACATCTTTACCCATTGAAAAGTGATCAGGACGTTTCGGCTTCAAGGCCATTGACACATCAAGAGTTATCCGTTATCCTGCAGATGTGACAAGCTATTGCCTTCACCTGGCCCTAAAGATGGACAGAACTTTTCTGATGCGGCTGTGGTAGAAGACCTCCAAAGTGGGCTCATATTGCTTGCGGAGCTCCTTCCCTCAGTTCCTGACTTGGCCCCTGTGCTGAAGTCTGTCTCTAATCCACATTAAACCAGGCATAACTTGGTTCTGAAATCATTTGGAGCTATCTGATGCAAGTACATTGCATTGCCTCTGTACTCATGGCCGCAGTGTTCACCCAACACCCACAGTGATCATACTCCGTCAGTGTAGCAAGAGTAGCAGAGATACGCGAACGACGAAAGTGCAAGCTGGCAGAGAGAGCGACAGAGAGAGGAGAGAGTGAACTTAATGCACCTGTTCCAGCACAGGTTACTTCGGAGCCAAGGCCCCTGTGCCGGGCAAAGCTTGAAGATTTCTTGAGTAAGTGCTTCATGTTTTCTTTGCTATGGTGCTTCAGGTGTCTAGCTTTTTGAGGATTGGGGGCTTTTTGAGATTCCTTTGAATGTAAAAAAATAGGATTGGATATCTGCGACCGTGAGTCGGCCAGCCAAAGTTAAAACGGTGGAGCTGTGAGTGGAAGAGCTGGACTCTCGGTTTGTTCAGCAGTCATCAGAATTCGACATCTCTAAAGGTCCATGCTTGGGGTCTCAGGAGGCTTAACGGGCCGTGCTGGGCTTTGCCTGAGGCTCTTTTGGCAATGTGGTATTTGTGGAGTGATCTTGACCAAAAATCTTGAGATGATGACCCATGGCTATCAACATTTTGCCAGATGCGGCCAACATCCAGTTTACTCTGCTGCTTCAGCTGCTTGTGGATTTTTATGGTCAACATTTCATTCGTGCCAGCTGTTTTTTTTAGGTTTGGCCAGGTTGTGGTTTGGCTATGTTTCATACTGAAGGGAACGCTACATCAAGAACCCCTAAACCCTGGAAAGCCCCTAGCCCAAAACGCGTGAGCCAAACCTCTTCAAAAAGACAGCCCTGAGCCGAACCTTTTGAAAAGCAGTCCCTCCACCATTTTGTTCCTATCCTGCACAGTAGATCCAAGCGCAGAGGCTTGAGTGCCTTCCTGGCGAATCACTTCCCCTTCATCCCTTCATGTCAAAGGCGCCTGGTAGCAACTATGTCCCCCGACATGTTTTATGTATGTCCAGTGTTAGGGGACTGTAGGGGTGGAAGGCTATGACTCTTCGGAGGAAGAGCGCATCCTACACTCGAGGCTCCTACCATTCCTCGAGTAATAATATCAAGATTTCCCAAAAATACTAACCAGCCCTCTCGCGGCAGGAGATTAAGGAGCTGCTAAAGGCACAGGGCGCGCAGCTGAAGGGCCCGTACTACCAGCATCTCGCTTTGCAGCGGGTCTTTGGAAAACTGCGTCCCCAATGACTGGGAACCTCCAAAGGCCCTGGGGCCCTAGTGCGCTGGGCAGCTTTAGAGGTTGTGTAGCAAGGGTGTCTCGGACGATGGGATCCAAATCATGAAGACCCACGATCAGATCCCCAGCAGTTGGAGATCTGTTGACGGGCCGATTTCAACCTTGTAGGATGGAGCAAGCCCGACAGCTTAGTGAAAATGCTTGGGTGTGTGCAGTTGCCCCGGCTGGTTGGCCCAGCTCATAAATTGCGACCCAAGCCCTGACAGCGATCCAACCAACACATTCCTTTTGCACCATGCGAGCTCACGCCATCTCAACGTGAGTGGCTTCCAAAAAGGATTCTTGGCTTTGACGCCGCCCTTTCCCCTCCAAGATTCCTACTACAGAAAGGAAGCTCTGGCATGCGTTTGCATCTTTGCAGGGCAGGTACTCCACGAACCACTCCACGTAGTAGAAGAAATCATCAAGACCAAAGCAAGACTTCCGCTCCCGAAGAAATCAAACACAAGATCTTTGATCTTTGTGGGCAGCTTGCCCGCTCTACCCAGGTACTCTCGGCTACTACGTGGCTAGCGTGTGAGCCCATGCATGTAGGACCCAAGTGCAACTGAGAATCCCCACGACAGCCCGTGTTTTCGTCATCAACGCATGGTTCCCTTTCCAAGGGCATGTGCCAAAATCATCTTCTTTATGTACTAGCCAGGTCCATCTAATTCTAATAGTGAGAAATAATTGGACTATAAACAGGACCAAACCTTGGCACAGATGGCGTCAGACTGCAGCCGCACAAGGCGACTGGCCAAAGCTGAGCCATCGCCCAGTGCAGACCTGCCAAAGCTTGGCGGTCCCGATTAGATGGAGGGTGGTTCTTCTGGGCCTTCTTTCGATAGAGTGACACCGGCTTTGTGTATCGCCAACAGCAATACTGTGGTGGTGGCTCTGCCCCTTGACTTCCCAAAAGAGGTTCTGAAGAAGCACCCTGATCAGATGGATTCTCACCACGTGATTGGAAAAGAGCTGCGCGAAGTTGACAAGTTGAGCTTGCGTCATTGTCACAGTAGAGAGGTACTACAAAGGCCGGGGTAACTCTATGCATTTGAAAAATGGATATGCGCAAGACGATGATTGTATTTATGTAGATTCAGACGGGTGAGTGCCCAAGGCAAGGCAACTCTCCTGGGTTTCTGTGTCTCTTTCTGCGCACTGGTTTGACCAGTTCTCGGAAGGATTGCCTTACCTTGAGCGAACACGTTCTCGTACACGGACATGACCCTCACAAAGTGTGGCCCACACTGGTGCCAGTGAAAGAGCTGCTAAGAAGAGTGAGAAAGAAACAGTAGCAGGAGCCACAGCTTCAGTCAGTGCTACTTGTAGAAGTGCTACAGAGGAAGCATTCATACTGCCCAGGACTTGTCCAAAGACAGGCTAGTAGCGGCCTCAGCTTGCTTAATGATAGGCTTGGCCGCAGGCCTGTGCACAATTTCATGTCGACATTTATTCATTAGTATGGCAGCCCACTGGGCCCCAGGCGTACGTATAAGGATTGCAGTTGTTCTCGTCCGATCATATAGGGCATTGAAGGGCGAAGGACCTTCGGATGAGACTACCCGGGATGGCCGTGACATGAGCAGGTTTGCATGCAGGCTACATGGGGGAGGGGGCGTGGCGGTTTTCCGTCATGTAGGGAATGCCGGAGTGCAGACTGTAGGGTGAGATTCCTGAGCCTTTACAGCAAGACTTTCACTACCCAAATGAAGTCCTACGCAGTGAGTCCTGTAAGTGGATAATCCATGCAACTTCCTCGAGATTGGAGGGTTTTGCACAAAGCCCGCCTGCTGGTTGATATAGTCCTAGGCCTTCAGGAGGTCGTATCACAAGAGCCGCGTTTAATTCAGAATGGGTCATATCACATGCGGCATGCAGGGCTGGGCTAAAAATTCTCATTTTGACTTCAGGGACCTGATGGCTGCTACACCAGCTATAGCCGGGTTGGCTGAGCAATGGAATATCGCTGAACTTCCCTGCCCATGTAGCAGCACCAGACTATGTAAGAGCAACGTGCGCACATTTCCGCATGACTGGTCTTGCAATAGTCGTTCAGTCATGCCACTGTTGATGTTTGAGTGTTACATGGAGAGAACCTGGTCAGCCCTTCGCCTGTTTCATGAGATTCATCCGAGGCTCTGCAGCGTCTGCGCGAGGCAGCAGAGACAGCGTGCAGCTCAGGTTTTTGGAGAACTTTACCGGCTTGCCTAAGACAAAGTTTTGAGGCATAGCAAGTCTAGCCAACGTTCAGCAACCGCATGAGTTGTTCAGATGCTGTTCGATGTTTCTCGCGGAGGTTTGCAATCCTTTGCACACAGTTGCATATTAGGCCTCGTGCATCTGCGTTTTTTTCAGCGTAGAAGCGATTGTTGGCTGCTTGCATCTTGCAGCATCGCGCAAATTTCTTGGCTCACAAATCAAATCTTGCAGCCGATGTATGGAAATCTTGTAGACAACCCGTACATAGCATCAGTTTTGTCTATTCATCATATTATATGCTTACATTACATGACGTTTGCAGCAACAGGCCAAGATTGAGCTGTCCAGCAAGGTCCAGCTGGGGGCCAAGCTCTTCAGGGTTCAGGGTTCTCATGCGACATTTTTTGGGACGAGATTCCGCGAGAGCTTCGCGTGAGGGGCAGGCAAGGTGTCTCTAGACTGGCCCTGAACTAGAGAATTGCAGATCCTGTAACAGACTTAATCTTCAAGCCTTGGGCCACTTCACTGAAATTGCTCTCTGGAAGCATGCGCTTTCAAGGACTGACGTGAATCTCCCCTTCATCACCGCGGACCAGACAGGCCCCAAACACTTGAATCTGTGGCGGCAAGCAAGTCTTAGCAACGAGAAGGGCTTCAGTCATAGAGTGCAGGTGTTCACATTTTGTAGCACAAGCCTTGGCTGCTAGTTTAGAGGCTATTCATATCGTCCTCTTGAAAAGGTATCCTGGCGGAGGGGTGACTTAAATTTGGATGGGAGTGATTTTCATTCTGGAGAGCATGCCTTGCAACCACATCGCATGATGACACGAACATAACTCTTCACTGCCCAAGGGTCCTGGATCCTGAAGTAGCAGACCTGACCCTTCTCACCTCACCGCTCTCTGGACTCCTTGGCATTCTGAGGAACATCCAGGTCTCGAGGCCAGGTGCTCGGCGGGCATGGGGCTTGTTGAATAGGGTGTCTGGGAAGACTTGATAGGGTTGACAGGTCACTCAATCCTAAGTTGGGGTGCATCTAGACGGGCTTTCTGGGGCCTTTGTATGACGGAGAAGACTCTCATGTGAAGGATTTCCGCGAGTCATTCCTGTTAAAGGATGCGTAGGCTAATCATCGGTTGTCGACCAGCATGTGCTATTGATGCGTTTTGGTCGCGTTGGGCAGTTTCCACACTCTGTTGAAGGCATGCGGCGGGTTCAGGATCTTCATGATCTCCATTACAGCACTGTGGGCTGAGATTTGTTCATAGCTTGACCAAGGGTGTGGAGGGTTCCCAAGCTTTCGGCAGTCAGCCCAAGGTCAAAGCTCGAGCAGCTCGTGGAGCCGTTGCTGACCCGGACCAAGGCTCCCTGCGAGGCCTGCAACAAGGCGGGCCCGCTGACGGCTTTGGCGCTTTGACGCCTTTTGCAGCATTTCAGCGGGGGGTGCTCGGCGAGTCGATGAGTAGTCTGGGTAGACATTCTTGTGAGGTTTACGTGGAGTGTTTTGATTCAAAGTTGAGGGTTCAAGGTCATAGAGTCATAGCATTATAGCTACTTGATTTGCGTACAAGGTCAGCTAGCGTTTCAGAGGCCCAGCGAATGCTTGGAAATCAAACTCCCACTGGGACTGGCCTTCGGCAACCGCATGGCTGCAAGGAAGTGAAAGCCCGCTGGCGCCACCATCTTTCTGTTTTGGAACAACAGTATTTCGGAAATTTCGGAACCATAGAGCCTCAACAGCTTCCCTTGCTTAAGGAATTTTAAAGCTATGCAGCACCCAACTTTCGTTGTTGGCGCAGAAGTTGTTGCAGGATGCTGGTGTCAAGCCCGATGAGTGGAGAGCTCAGCATATCTTCCCCTCTCGAAGAAATGTGTCAAAGCAGAAGACAATGACCGTAGACAGGAACGGGGGCAGCATACAAAGCAGCACTACCTGCACGGTAGCGGTTAAAGCATGCATTTCAAGCGGCCTGCAGGAGACTCGAAGGTAGTTAGTCCCCTGCTTGATTCTGCTTTCCGCATTCTTCCTAGGCCTACTGTGAGAGTGCAACTTCGGGTAAGTCACCTGACCACAGAATTCACAGGATTCTTAGTATTCTCAGTATTCTTTGCACGGTGTGGCTGCTCTGGCTATTCTATCCGTTTTTGCCTTGGCAGGTTGTACGGCTTTGCGACATAGCTGTCATTGTAGATGTGTCAGGTTGTACCTTGCCAGGCCTTTCAACCGGAGCTAGTGCTGAATGGTGCTGAATTGCAGGATCAACGAGGTGCTCCTCGTTGGCGGCATGACGCGGATGCCAAAGGCACCTGCCAGTGGCACCTGAACCAAGCGGTGGATCCTCGATTGTGTTTCTGATTGCTGAGTCGGCTTGATGTACAAAAACGGATCAAGAGAATGTCAGTCACGATCGAAGCTGTGCCGTGAGCTGGGCCGTGAATATTCTGCAGATGAAAAACTCCAGAGAAGCAGGTCACCGAGCTGGTGCGCTCCATCTACGGCAGGTGCCTCAGAAATCAAGTCTGCACCGCAAACTTGCCCAGAGCGCAAAATTGAGGGTGCATATACTGCATACGTCTTCACTCCAACAAGAGGGATTCCGCTGTCCGAAAGAATGTTCAAGGATTGGAGGGCGCAGGAGCATTCTTGGAGGAAACAGTCCCCAAGAGTTGGCTGAGCCATCAATGGTGAATTGTCGCGAGAAGGCCTATCTTGCAAGGGGCCCTGGAAGACATATATCAAATGGCTCCTCAATATGCATTGTCAGGTAACACAATAGTCTGAGTGCAGTTTGGATGATCTGATGCCTTGTGCTCGAGATAGGGAGGTGTGGGAATCGTGCAGCTACAAACTGCCAGCTTTCCATGCCAGTGGTCAGCGTACAGCCCCTTTTCATGCCTACATGATTGTCTGCAGGCAGTAGTTCCCTGGCATCTCAGGATCTACATAAGGCAGAGCATTCCAGGTCTTGACTTCTTGTATTTGCACAAACAAGAGGGCATACAAGTAACGCACTCGGACACTATGGCTTCTGGAAGCCATCGCTTGGCAAGTAGGTTGGTTCCGGCTTGAGCATCCTGTGCTTGCACTTTTCATCAGTCCCCGTGACAAAGCAGCCTGATTGCCCCACCGGCCCAGAGGGGAAAACATGGAGGTGCAGAGAGTAGATGACTTGCGCTAGAGTTGGTGCGCTGCAGTCACCTGGAGGAATCAAATTCACAAGCAGCAGCAGTTTTTTAATTAAAGATGTAAAGCTCAATCGTCGTGGCTGTGCGTTAAAAAACGGTTGGTAGGCGCAAGAAAGTAAAGCTCTCACCTGCTGATTTACTGCTCCAGCCTGAAAAGGCGTGGTTATCAGCATGCGCACTTGCACACGTTTTTGATTTGTACATGCTGGCTTAGCGTAATCCTATGTCAATCCACGTTTCGAAGTAACTGGGGTACTTGCATTTGTTGATTTGGCGCTGGTTTCCTTTGATGACCGTCGGATGTTTGCACATCTACTCGCCGAGGTATAGATGTAGCCACCTGGAAACCCTTCACGTATATTAAACGTACATTAATGATCTTGAAGTCCCAACTGGATCACACATTACCTTATGCTTCCAGCAGTCCCCATTATGCAGCCCAGGCAAGGACCCATCGAAGGCGGTGAACCCCGACGAGGCTGTCGCCATGGGCGCTGCCATCCAGGCTGGAGTTGGGGAGGAGTTTTGAGGGATTGTAAGTATGTTGACGACGGTGTGTTATTCACCCCAAGTGAGAAATCTCTGCCATCTTGATAACGGTTATATTGTATGAAGTTCTGAAGTTCTCTGTGTGAACTGATATCCAAGATTATTCCATACCATGCAGGCACCCCTCCTTGGTTTTTTAGTCGTAGCTCGTAGTCACCTCCCACAGGGTCTGGACAACTGACTTCCCAGTTTGCTTTGCAGATGCTCTAGTTCATGGGGAGGCTTCTACACGCACATATTATATGCACATATAAACATGTACATAACATTTTCGAAAATACGCTCACATACGCATTTGTGGTGTATACATGTAGGCGTACAGGAAGATAGCAGGGTTCCAACGCATGTATTTTACAAGCTGGTCAAATGAAGATGTGCAGTAGCCAAAGCCAACACACAGATTTTGAGATGCAACAAAAACTCACCCATGTTGGTTGCTTCTATCTGCCAGCTCAGCGCGGGTTCAAAAGAAGTGAGGATCATCAAGCTCCAAATTAAGCCCTGCAGCCCACCACGAACCCCGAACCCAGTTCCAAACCTTGACATTGTGTGTGGAGCAGGCCGGTGTTCTCAAGGGCGATGTGAAAGATGTGCTCCTGTTGGCAGGCAACCCAGACATGTAGTTGAGTTGGGCTAGGGGACGTGATGTTCTCAGAAGCCCAACATCTGTGCCTTGTGACCTGGCGATTGATGGTATTAAGCAGAGAGATGGAGTACTGGGTCCTAGATAGGTCCAAATGTTTCTGAACCTCGACCACCGAGCGATTCGGGATGACTGACCCAGACATTCAATCGGAAATGAAAGGGTTCAGAAAGCTTGGCACCTAGCATGTGCCGCAGTGGCGGGCTCGCTTGTCCTAGAGATTTAGGGACCAACAGCCGGGATTGGCTATGTGCAGTCTCAATCAGCATGATTTTGAAGCGAGACTTTGAGACCTTGGGAAAAACACGTTACTAGAACCATCTTGCAGTTGGATGTAGTAAGCACCAGTCACACCCATGAAAGCTTTGGAATGAGGACTTCGCATCGTTTCTGGAACAGCATCACGTAAGGATGTGACGCCGCTCTCGCTGGGCATTGAGACCCTTGGGGGCGTTTTCACGCGCCTCATCAACAGGAATACGTCGCAGCCTCGGGATCACTTTTGACGTCTTCGGGCAGCTTATCGCAAATGGCGGGCGAATTGGTACAAGTTTGGCAGTTTGAAGCTTCTGCCGTTCAGTCACAGACACGCAACTTGCTTCAAGACCCAAGAGAAAGAAAGACTTTGCTCAACTCCAAGGACAATCCCCACAAAGAAGTCACAAGTCTTCTCCACCGCAGCGGACAACCAGACGCAGGTGGTGTGCTTGGACGTATGCTCCGCACAGGAGATGAAGTCTGTGAGGTCTCAGGGCCAAGGTGTAAACGAGTTCAGAGAGCTGCTTTTGGAGATGGGAGATAGCGAAGCAGCCTGCGCAACGGCACGGATCAGACAAATAGGTAGTAACAGTATTAGCAGGAATGAAAAGGGAGCCTCACGCGGGAACAATGATGACTATACATACATCTGCCAAAGAGTCCCCACAGCACTCTGCCAATTTCTTGTCCACTTTGCTGAACCTGATTCAAGTATTTTTTCGGCCCCTCTGATCTTTGGAGCCTAGAAAGTTGAACCACCTTGAAATCTTTTTGGGGGACTTCAGCTCGAAATGGAGTTGCTGTGCCCTGACTTCCCCAAAATTTGCGCAGGCCTCCCCTTTTCAGTTGGCAAGTCTCTGCCTGTCTGTGCACTTACAAGCTTTGCAACTCCACGAATGGACAGGTGGGCATCAAGGTCTTCCAGGGTGAGCGTGAAATGGCCGCAGACAACCAGATGCTGGGGCAGCTGCTCGGTTGAGCACCCTTATTCCAAACCTTCCCAATGTAGTGCCAGAACAAGATGATGTACTTGCTGGAGTTTAGGATAGGGCCTGTGCCTTGGTCCTGATGATGAGAAGCCCCCCCTGAAACACACCGATCCAGTACGAGGAGATGTACGAGCAGCAAAGAAGACGCTGAAGTTGTGTGAAGCTTCCTGAGAAGTTCAAATCCTTGGTTGGCCACTCCAGTGAATATGAACCCATTCAGCACAGTGAAATGACAAAGCAGCAGAACTCAGCCACAGAGGAAAAGTCCAGCTGTTGCATATCGCCGGGCCCATAAGATGTCCAAGTGTTAGAATGGACATACATCTCGTCAATGTTGCTAGTGTTTGCGGTTTCGCAAGCCGAAGCAGGAGAATCATGCGAGAACCGCTTTGCGTGCCACATCGGAGGTTCGATCTCGTCGGCATTCCTCCGGCACCACGAGGTGTCCCTCAGATCGAGGCCATGCATCTTTGCCGCTAGATACTACGTTAACAGCAGTGGCTCAAAAGTAGAAACGGAATAACGGTCAACGTGAAGTCTTGTTTTTGGAGCTGTCACCATGATGAAGTTGCACCAGGTCTTATTCTTGGTGAGGTCTGGATTGTGCAGGTGGCTTCAAAGGTAGGTTCTCATTCAAAGGGATCTGAGAGAGTACTGTTTCAAGAGAGACTGTCCAGGCAAAAGGAGAGGGACCGGATGTGTTTCGAACTGAAACCACGGAACGGAAAGGAAGTCCTTGTGTGCGGAAGGCAGTCTTCATGCCGATTGCCACTGTCGCTTCTGCTGGTAACATGATTCTTGCCCTCCCTTCCGCCATTACCAGGGGCTCTGTAAAGTCTGAGCGCAGCAGCCCGTGTGAACAAGGTGCAATTCGGATAGGGGGATGTCCGGACATCATGAGGGCTTGACCTCAAGCCAGACCCGAAGCAATTCTCCACAGCGCCGCCTCAGTTGTAGAGGTGGCCTTCGACATTGATGCTAACGGCATCGTGAACGTCAGCGCGTCTGACAAGGGCACCGGCAAGAAGCAGGCAAGAGCTCTGATTGCTAGCCTTGGGTCTCTTTGAAGAAACTATTGTTACTATTGATGCTGCTTTTTTTTCTATGTGGTTATCATTGTCATTACCATTACTATTAGTACTACTACTGTGTTGGTTGTTATTCCTGTAGAGGGACTTCCGTTTGCTGTCAGAGAAACAAGCGAGGCTGCCGCTTGGCCGCTCTGCTTTGCCACCATTTTGCTGGTGCCGGAATAATGTCAAACCCACAAGGCTGTCTTAAACGTGGTGAAATCGCTAGACCGCAAGACATCCCAACATGCTGGATCCGCTTTGTACCACTTGGAAGTGGCCGATTCATCTGACACACATCTGTAAATGGTAGGACTGGTAGGATCCTGCAGGCTATCACCATCCGTTCCAGCGGCGGCCTCTCAGACGCTGAGGCTGAAACTTTCTATCAGGGAATTAGCACTCAGGAGAGCCGAAGGGGTATGCACTGATGAGAAGCTCCCTTGGCTTTTGGCCGCCGCGTCCAATGCACGATAAGATACTGTTGCTGTCTCAGAATCTTTGCAAGGAAATCCCCTGCCACTCCGGACTGAAGCATTTCATGCAAGATAAGCAACATAAAAGCTGATTCAGATTTGTCCGCAATATTGCCACGCGGCTAGGTCTCTGGACGGGGTGTCAAGTGCATACCAATACCTGAATTAAGTACTGCGCACGTTTTGCACCGGGCAGTGGCTTGACGCGCGCTTTGGACGCAAGTGTTCCTGATTTGGAGGGCTTGGCCTTGCTCCAGCACTTCCAGCCAGCGTTTGCACTTTCCAGCTACTTATGAGGAAAGTGTGACGAGCGCAAGTGCGCAGTGGACTCCTGTGATCTTTGGGCAGGTGGAGCGCATGGTCCAAGAAGCGGAGCAGATGAGAGAAACCGACCAAAGAAAGAAGGTGTCCGCTGGGAAAGCTTAAGGGGTTGCTTTCATTCGGCGAGCTTGTACATGGAGGCACAGGCAACCGGGATTGAAGTGCGGGCATGTTCCAGGTTAAGTCATAGATGAGTTTACTTCTGGAAGGGGATGTGTGTGTGTGTGTGTGTTTGTGTGTGTTCTGCATGTTTGACGAACCCACAAACTTCGGCATCGGTTTGCAGAGCATGTGGCAGCCACCACCTGCGAGGACACTGTGCATGCCAAGAACGAGGCCGAGACCCTGGCCTACCAGGCGCGCCAAAAGGGTTGGAGCTGGAGTGTGGCTGAAGGTTCGAAGGAAGCTGGCGGGGGGCGGGACATTTTGGACGTTGGTTTGGTGATGCCTTGCGGGTCAGAATTTACTTGGGAACGAAAAAAAACGTAATCCCCTGGAACGAGAATGGAGAAATCACTTTGCACGAGTGATGTTGGCCAGAATTTCACACTGCAGTCACCACTCGGGATCCCTGTGGCTCCTGCTCAAGTTTTCGATTTGGTCTCATTTTCTCAAACACATGTGAAAAGGACCCTGCTTTGGTTTTAGGCTGGGGGTCACTTCTTGCGACCAAGGGACTCTACTTAGGGCTTTGCTGTGCGGTCGCTCCTTTGGAGCTTGGGGTTTTGGCTTGGGTCTGCTTCCCGCAGACCCGTGTGAACATACCCCTGCTGGGAGTTTAGGCTGGGGGTCATTTCTTGGGACCAAGGGACCCTACTTAAGGTGTCGGTTTGGGTCTTTGCCTGTCACGCCAGCCGCGGACAACCTTAAGATCACCATAATGTTACCATCTTGTTCGGCCAAGCGGCACCAACAAATCACATAGGACGAGATTAAACCAAAAAATCGATTTCAGGAACCCCAAAAAATCGCATAGGGCGAGATTGGGAATGACCTAAGGCGAGTGAAAAGCAGGGTTCAAAGAGCCACTCGGCTGACCACTGCCAAGTCTTCTTCCCTTCAGGCAGCCGCAAACCCAAAAACAAACCTCATCCTAAGTGATCTTTGTTTTCTTTCCCAAAGCGAGCTCCCACCCCGCCTTGCTTGTGTTTGTTAATGCTTGTTATACGTCAGGGATGCTTCGCTTCGGCCTAGAGAGATCTGGAAGAAATGCTATATGCAGCAGCCATGTTTGCCCCGCGGCCCCAACCCCTCCTTGCAGCTTGCAAGTGCCTGGCAAGGCAGAGAAGCAGCAAACAGAGCTGAAGGATAAGCTTCTCGGAGACTGTTGGCGCGGTAGGTGTTTGCGTCTGTGAGAGAAAATCGAATCAGGCAACACAGGCACGCTGCGAAACAAAGCAGCTAGCTCTCATGGGCATACAGCCTTGTAAGGTTTTGCTGACCTGTGTGGACCAGTCCAGCTGAGGATGAGCACCGCAGACTCAGATGAGCTCAAGAAGCTGACGGAGGAGTCAAACGTCTCATCCGTAGGGGCCGCCCTCTTTTCTTGAGGAAAAGTGTGTCTGTCACGGGATGTTCCTTTTGGAGGACCTTCGGGCCTGCCTCGCTAACGACGACGCCGACCTGGACGACATCAAGCAGAAGACCAAGGAGCGGAGCTCACCTGTTCAGATAGGCTTCCATATCCACCAGCCGCTTCAAACGCTGCACCCTAAAACTGGAGTCCAAATTCTTCACTTTGCGTGCATGGGAAAGTAGCTTGACAGCTTGCGCCAGGAGCTTCAGGACAAAGTCTGGAAGATCACGCAGCAGGCATACCAGCCGTGGGCTCTGCTTTCGGATTCAAACAGTTCGGCGATGAACGTTTTTGCGGGTGGCCTGGGGTCTCTTGCTTCTGATAGTGACTTGCGGATTCTTCATGCTTCCGAGTGCAGGGATCAGAGGTTAAATCCGGGCATGCGCGGCTAGGTGAACCGTAGCTTTGCAATGGCGATGCGGGTGCTGAATCCCCATGTGCCTGAAGCCTTGACACCTTCCCTTGCTGTCACTTAGAGCCACTGGCCATATAGTGCTGCGGATCTTCCTTGCTGGTTCGCAGCGTGATGTGGTTCAGCTGAATCCTACTTCACCCTTTGTAGCTTCCACGTCACCTGGCCAAAGCCCTGAAAACCCGCCAGAACGCGAATCCCTGAATCCTTCCAAGGCAAGGATCGGCCAGCGAGGACTCCGGCGCAAAGCCTGAGGAGGAGGCACAGGGTGGGGGTTCAGGGTAGCTCGTTCTTCTTTTGATCTGAATCATATCACGGCAATGGGAGACGGTCATAAGGAAGGAGATTTTCTGCTGGATGAAGCACAAAGCACGGAGGTGTGAGGTTCAATGCAGCAAGATAATAGTCAGACATGCTTGGAGTCTAGCAACCTACCGTCCCTGCCAGGTTCCGCTAGCATTTCGCTAGTTTAATCCAACTTTGGTTTCAGAGGCAGCTGGTGCCAAGTGAGGTGTTAATCGCAGACTCAAGCATGCAGCAGAGGAGAAGAAGGAGAAAGAGGACAAGGAGAAGAAGTGATGAGCTTACCTGGGGCCGAAGCCCAGCAGACAGCAGGGCGTGTAAATGGAGCAGCCCTCCCACTAAACCGCCTTCAGCTGTCGCCAAAGGCGTCGGGAGCTGAATTTTGGGCTTGGGAGAAGGTTGGGGACCTGCAGCCCAGGTTCAAAAAGGTTTCCTATCGCATCACATTGCCTGTCCTGTTTGGTTCTAGCCGCTGCGTCACCGTGTGCCACGCAGCTTGCTGCTAAGAGAGCAGCTGCTGCGTGAGCTGAGCGCTCCGGCACAGATAGGCGCTAGAACAAGCATGACATAATTACGGTAGATGAGTAGCTCTGGAACAAAACGTGCGGGGCGCCCAGCGCTTTTGCCCCGCGGTCGCACGGCGAGGTTATTGGCCACCGGGACTCCTCAGGGAATGCCCAAGTGACTCTCACGCACCATTCTCGGTAACAAAGACAGTGCTTCTCACGTGGAATGTTCCTATCCAAACATCGTCTTGTGATTTCCCTGCAGCTTACAGCAGACCTTGATGCCAACATTGCGAAAACTATCCGCCCTAATCAATCCCTGAATCTGGGACTATGGTAGTTTTTGCGTTCGCAGGTTTTCAGGGTGCAAGAGAAGCTAGGATTTTTCGGCGTTCCCTTGGCATGCCCGGGTCTGGCCACAATCGATAATTTGCTCTGGCCTCGAGGCAGGGTGTTGAAGGTTTATGGCATATGGCCTCCCACAAGCGTCGCATTCAGAGCCACTGCATACTTCTGATACCCCAAGTTTCAGCATAGTTGCATCCTCCAACAACTTCACAAACCCAGCCCTGAAAAAAACATGTCCTTCATTCCGTGATTGCTTGAAATTTTGATTTTCAAGAATGTTCTTGCGTGTTCTCCAAAAGGCAGCCTGGGTCCAGCATGTCGCGATAGGGATCCAATCATATTATTCCCGGTCCTAGCTTTAGAAGTGTGGCTGTTGAAGACCAAGCATTCGCTTGACAACCTTCGGCTACCCTTCTGTGTAGATAGTGGCCTGAAGCAGCATAAGATCAGAACAACGCTGTCACAGCGGTTGCAGAAGGCTGGTGGCCTACTGTCGGGATGTCCCAAGCTCTGAAAGCAGTCCCAAGTGACCAACTGAAGTCTCATGAGCTTCATGAACGGAGCTGGTACTCACAACCTAGTTTTCATTGTTGTATCCACCAAAACAATGCCATTATCTGACGAGCGTTGAGAAGATCCCGCATGTTATGCTTCGTTACAGACTTCCGAAGAAGCTGCGAGCAGTGGAAAGCCCGGGCAAGCAACTCTTGCAGGATTCCAGGGCAATCGTCTCTACAGTGTATTGCGGCGCTACATGTCCCCACATATTTTCTAGAGCCAAAGTTTGCCTACCACCGATGGGTGTAAAGATTTGTCCTGCGAGGTGTGCCAATGACCAAAGAGTTTGTCTAGGAAGCTGAGTAGGATTGCTATGAGACCTAGATCTTCTCAAGATACTTGTCAGATCTTGTCAGTGCAGCTTGGCAGTAAGCGCGATCACATCAGAACCAATTTTGTTTGAAAGAGCTTCTGCAAAGCATCGTTCCCTTCAGACTAGCTTCGTGTGGCTGCGATGTTGGGCTTAGAAGGGGACGTAGAGAGCCGGTGTCCATCGGCAGATGCAGGCCACTGTGGGACTTGGGATTCGGGAGTTGTGGTTTCAGGCGGGAGTGACTGGCCTGCTTGATTTGGAAAACAACCACAGATCTCAGTACTTGGTAGCAGTAGTGGCAGTGGCAATGGTGCTGGTGCGGGTGGTAATTGGTGGCGTCAGCGGTGGTGGTCATGGCGCTGATGCTGGTTGCAATGGTGGATATGGTGGTGGCGCTGGTCAAATCAAAGCTAGGACATGTAACGCAGTCCTCTTGGCAACAAAAATCAACTTGGTCGGGAATGCATCCAGGCTCCGAGGCCTGCCATTTAGAATGGATTCTCGCTTTTCGTTCCAGCTGTGCTCAAGGGTGGAGGCGTCAAGCCTTTAAAAGCCAGGGATAGTGTATCAACACAGGCGTTCTGGACGAGAAGCCAGGTCATCTCTTCTCGGGACACGACGTGTGCATGCCTTCGCTCCTTCCCCAGGTATGTCAGGAACTGGGCTGCCTGGGTCAGTGCCTCAGTTTTGCCGCCGCATGTTGGCAGTTTCAGTGCATGGAGCGCCGGATCGTGGCAGCATGCCATGACCGCACATTGCATGCGTTTCTTTTGAATGCTGCTTCCGATTTCTGCGTGCGGGGGTAAGGCAGTTCAAAAGAATTGTTCAGAAGGCCCTGTGGGCTGGAAGGTAGAGTTTCGTCATCAAAGCAGTTACTGAAAACAGCAATTTCTTTAATGCCTTCGGGTATTCTCTTCCTGTGGCTGATCAGACCTCAAGCACACAAGGGTTTTCAGCAATAGTGGGCCCTCCCTCTGTGCCTCTTCTTATCAGTTCAGGTGTGTACCTGCTAGTGAGGTGTTTTGGAACTGCTCCTGCTTCCCCGAATTGCAGATTCCCACGGAAAAGCCTTCATTACTTAGGCAACCATAGTGACCACGGATCAAACACATAGGTCCCCACTTGGGAACAGTAGTCAAGCCTAATCCTGCCTGGGATCCATCCCAACCCTCATACCCGACTCCATGTTGGCCCTGACGAGAAGGCAAGTTGCCCTCGGCAGCCTTGAGCCGAAATCTGGCAAAGTGCTGAGGCGCACCGGGGCCAGGAAGATCACCCTGACTCCGCTCACCGATCCCGACGCCTTCTCTCGAGGCCTGGTCACGCTGTCGGGTTCTGTGACTAGCCATCCCTATTGGGTACCCCGGCACCCCGCCCAAAGAGGCTGGAAGAAGCACCCAATTGCACGGACGGGGCCACGCTTCGCGTTCGGCCGAGCTGGTCCAGGGCCCAGGTCGTCAGAAATGCCATACATGTGATACAGGTTTTGTTGTGGTTTTTGGTGTGGTCGGTCGGGAATGCTGCTTTTATTGCTGAAAGTTCGTAACATAGTCGCCCCAGGACGGCCCTCATCATCATGAGGCCGGCATGCCCTTACCAAGCTAGGGTAATGGTTGACAATACTGTGTTTTTGGTTTTGGTAGTCTTGGTTAGGAATCCCATCCCGATAAGAAGACAGTCATTCTGAATGCAGTTGGTGGAGTCTTGATTGTGCAGACCATTGCCGCTTCTTGTCTCGTCTAGGCTTTCATCGAGTCATATCAAACTTCTGCAACTCCTGTCGCCAACGATAAGCACGCTGGGTTCTGTTGTGTGTTGCTTCAGGTCATTTTCGCGTCTGTTGTTATATGACCGCTGGTGCTCGTGAAATGGTTCCCGTTACAAATACGTTCCGGGGAAATCTCTTGGTGAGTTGCTGCTGGGAGTTGTGCGCACGCAAACAATGTGATTATGAACCCAAACCGCTGGAACTGCCCGGAGATAGCAGGCCCTGTGATGCCCAAGGCTGCCAGGTTGCCTGTTTTGGTGTACGGTCTCATCTAGCCGATCACAGTGTTCAGTGTCTACGATCGAACGGGAAAATCTACCCACGTGGGGAAGGATTCCATGTGCACCAAAAACCTTGTGGAGCTTTCTGCCCACAGGGGGCGCACAGAACGTTCTAAACTGAACCCTAAGCGGCGTTCCCCTACAATGCTCTTTGGCATTCGGGCCTGAGCTTTATTGTGGCCTTTGTTTAGAGTTGCCTCATCAACGCAGGTGTGGACCTGACATTCGTAGCACAAGAGCGGCTAGGAAAATCGTTGAAATCTTCTCGACATCCTGCCGTGTATAAGCCTTATAGAACAACATCCCCATGAATACAGGCCCTGACAATTGCAAATTCTGCAGTGCTATGGCCTAACTGTCTTATTGCTGATCAGCCTTGAGAAGTTCCAAATGCAGTGCCTGCTGGTGGAGGAAGACCCCCTTACAAAGTTTTGCTGTTTCGACTGCCACGACCATCCCTGCTTTTTAAGTTGCATGTCCGGCCCGTGACCTTAAGCGCTCGCTCAGCTCTGTCGACGAACGGCAGCGGTGACCGAAAGACTTGGATGGACGCTGCCATCAAGGCAGCAGCAGATAGAGAAGTAGCAGTAGAAGTAGACATAAGAAGAAGTAGCAGCAGCAGTTGCAGTTACAGTGGCAGTCGCACTCGTAGTAGCATTAGCAGTATTGGCGTCGTCATCGTCGGACGAATGGTTGTACCAGCAACAGGAACAGCCATAGTAGCAGAAGCAGTAGCAGGAGGAGCAGTAGTAGCAGCGGTCGTCGTTGCAGTCATCGTCGTCGTGTAGTGGCAGTAGCAGCAGCAGTAGGAGCCGATGATGACATCCTGTAGCGAAAAGGTACAAGAGGTACATGGACCTGTTTCCCAGACTCATACCTTATGACGACCAATTATCACCTGGCTCCAGCATAGAAGAATTCCCAGCTTTGTTACTCGTTGTCTGCCTGAATCAAGCATCATCCTAGCGTTGAGAGAGCATTGAGTGTGCTTTCAAACCTCATGTCAAAATCCTGGTTACAGGGACTGCCGGACGGTTAACAGGGAACTGCGAAGTTCAGACACGTCAGCGATATAATTCTCGTGTAGTGCAAGTGCGTTTTGCAGTCTCCCGTTCATCTCGAGAGTGGCTGGAGGAGAAGATTTGGATCCCCGGGCCGGGCGCACACGCCACCGAGCGAAGCTTCTACAGCTCAGACGCTTATTTATCCAATGATGTGCTGGGAGCCGTCATGCGACGTATTTCGGGAATTTGTGAAGGAGTATGCTGGTGCCTGAATGTACACCGAGCTGCCAAAAACCGGGAGCGGCTTCTTGAGGCACTCGGGCACTTTGGGGATGGCCCCCCTGCTTTTTGGAGTTGCCGTTTAGGTTTCGGAACCAGCGCTGCCGATGGCCAAGCGTGAAATTGGGGAAATGCAGTTTAGTAGGAGTTCCTCCCTGCCATCTATGCCACTCGAACCCTGAAAAATAGCAGGGCAGTCGACCGAAGAGGTGGAGGTTC